ATTCTCAGATAAACAAAACCTGGAAGAATTTACTAACACCAGACTAGCTCTTCAAGAAGTTCTGAAGGAAGTGCTATACCAGGAAAACTAAATACAGACACACAGAAACAAGAGAACAAAAAACGACCAAGAAAATGGTCAACTTAATGGTAGGGGCAAGTCTGGAAATATCAATAATAATGTTGAATGCTAACCTCCAAGATGTAAATGGAATAATCAGACCACATTAACACTGCAAATTCAACAGAAGAGAAATTAATTACATGAGAATTAACTGGGGAAATAGAATTTTTACTTTTGACTAATACATTACTGATTTTCTTCTAATGCTTTAACTTCCAGATTTAAGGATTTTTAGTTTCTTCTGAGCAGCTGATGAAAAGTTCAGCAATTTGTTAATTTTTTTCTTTTTAATTGAAACATAAACTTTTCTCCCTTCCTCACCCCTCTGGAATTGGAAAATATTTGTGAGCATTCTTATTCTGTGGCAGAAATGTTATTTGCCTAAGTTCAATAATACCTGTTATCTTGCCTCAGAAATTGAAAATACTGGTTAATGCCAGGGCTTTGACTAGAATGTCGTATCTGAAGATATGACCAGAAAGCCAAGGGACTAGGGTGGATCTCAAGAAAGCCAACAGAAGCTCTTGGGAAGACTGCCTGGCATCATAAACAGTTCTGCCTGGCTGGTAAGTAAAGAATGTCACTTTTTGACAGGCCCCGAAACCTCTCAAGTACAAGTACTTACAGGCATAGTCAGATGGCGAGTTGCCGACTTGGCTTAGTAGCCTTTTTAAAGATCTAATCTGGAACCAGCAGTTTTTCTTTGCAGCTAAGTTTATACCTCTCTCTAGCAAAAGAGGGAATGGAGAGAGAAAAAATGTTTCAGGGGAACCAGCAGTTAGCGTAATGGCTATGTCGCTGGACTCCCACGTAGTCGACCGCGGTTCACGTCTCGGACCTGGTGGCTTAAAACTCACGCCGGGCGCATGTGCGTGCGTTGCCAGGATCCCGAGCGGAGAATGGAGGAGAAGGGATTGCGGCGTGACCATCCCCCCTGGGGGGGGGAATTTCTCGCTTTCTGTCTCTATGTCTCTCTCTCTGTCTGGCGAGTGCACGCGCCCTATAGCGAAAAAACCTCTCCCCCCCCCAAAAAAAAAAGTTTCAGAAGAAAATTACAGTGCACTTGTTACTAGATTTTAGCTTTGTCCTTATCTATTTTTTGAAGTTTTAATATCTATCTACTGTTTGAACATAATCCTTAAGCAAATTTTTACTTAACATATTTTTGATTTATTAAAGTTAAAACTGCTTTTCTTGAAATTAAAAAAAAATACATAACAAACAAAAAATAAATAAAAAACATTCCTACTTAACGACCGCAGTAAGCTATACAGCCTCAGTTAGATGCAACTTTATACTATGTTCATTCTACTCAGCAGTTTTATGCCCAAAGTCGGGCATGTGTTTGTAAATATGTTTATATCAACTGTACTTACTACTGAAAGTATTTAGTTTAAATAAGATATTTTGTGAATCAACAAAATGTGGAAGAAAATAGCATGGAAAGCAACTGTAGATACCAGAGACAGTGTGGGAGGAGGGTGGGAAAGGGCAGAGGGTGAGAAGGAAGGTATCAAAGGGGGAAAAAAGAAGTAAAATATGTCAGAAACAAGAAATAGAAAATCATTTGTTGAAGATAACATGTATGGTAATATCTTTGATTGAGTCAATATACAGTATTTTGGATGGGAAAACTCATTTTGTATGTTGCAATGCTATACAATGAATGAATGTAAAAGAAATACTGAAAAATAAAAAATAAAAAACAAAAAAGCATGTTATCGGAAATAACATAAATGTTTTAATTTAATTTTATACATTATGTATTATGTTATACATTTATAATAAATAATATCACCTTAAAGGCATGAGATAAAAAAAAAAAAAAAAGAAAAGAAAAAAAGAAAACGCTACACAGTAAAACCTTGACTAGTCTTTACAGTTAAGTAATTAAACCAGTGTGGTAGTGGCATATCAGGACGCCCACAGAATGCGTCAAAATAAAACATCCAGCAAGAAACCCAAACACATGAAATAATCTGCATGATAAAAGCAGAGTTCCACATCAATGGGAACAAAATAGATTACTTTAGTTAAGGGGCCAGCAGATGGTGTGGTGGTGAAGATGCTGGACTCCCACATGGCTGCAGTTTGAGTCCCGGATCCGGTGGCTTTCTTTCTTACTTTCCTTCTCTCTCTCTCTCCCTGGTCAAATTAAAAAATAAAATAAAATGAAATGAAATAATTTTTAAAATAAATAAATAAAATAAACAAACTGTGAGAGGCCAGCAGGTTGGGTAGATGTTAAGGCACTGGATCCCACACAGCTGACTCCATACTTTGAGTCCCTGACCCGGCAGCTTGAAAATTATGCGGGGCGAGTGTACATGTGTACCCCAAATCCTGAGAGAGAGTGGAGGAGAAGAGTTTGTGGCATGGCCATCCCCTGTGGGGTGACTTCTCACTTTCCCTCTCTGTCTGTCTTTCTGGTGAGCACACATGCACTATAGCAAAACTAAAAAATTAAAAAACTGTGGGGGCAACAGGGTTATCATCTTGCAGGAAAAAAAGTATGTGAAACTACAACTTATGCCAAAATACAGTCCAACAGAATCAGAGACGTAAATATATAAAAAGGAATATAGAAGATTCACAAGGTTGTGCCATTTTCATCACCCCCTCAAAAAAACAAAAAAACAAAAAAAACCCAAAAACCCTGTGCCCACTGGTAGTCACCTCCAATAAATAGAGTTAAACATATTAAAAGTTCCTGGTACAGAAAAACCATGCTACCTGTGTGACTAGCAAAGACCGCAGTTCTGACGGACTGTGCCAGCAGGAGTAACCACAAACCAGCGCTCGCACGGGCTGCTGGCGAGTGAATGACTCCACTCTCCCAGGGAGGGCACCGGCTACGATTTTAAATGCACATGTCTGCCCAGCGATTCCGTGTCCAGGAACGTCACTGCACAGATGTATTTCTACGTGGACAGGATGAGGTAGCTGTACAGATATTTATTGCTCACGTTTGTTTCTATCACTACCTAAATGTCAATGAATATGAATCAGCCA